GGTTGTTTGTTTGTTTGCTTGCCTGTTTGTTTGTCTGTCTGTCTGTCTGTCTGTCTGTTTGTTTGTTTCTTTCTTTCTTTGTACTTTGTTCGTCTCGGAGTTAAACAGGGGGAGTTAAACAGGGTCTCTGAAGGATTGTAGAGCTCACTGCTCGCTCTCCTCGGCTCGGCACTCAGCTCCGGACCGTTCCTGCAAACGCCCTTGTTCCCCGTCTCTTTCAAAGAGTCAATCTGCGCGCGGATGGAGCTCTGCTTCCGCACAAACTCCGTCCAGTTCTGGAGATTCTGAATCCGGTAGGCGCACTTCACAAGCAGCTTGTCAGGCACCTCCACAGGCACACCATGCGCGCTCACGCTCCCACCGCTGCATGCCACCACGCTCCCTCCGCCACCTTGGTGCCTTTGCGGTCCCGGGTGTAGACCTTTCAACCAGGGGGAGAAAAGATTGCACAAGAAACCACGGAAAGGTAGCAACGAGCCAAGTTGCCTTCTTGTGAGACGCGTCGAAGATTTGCCTGAAGTTGCAGACGGATGAGCGGACTGTTGCGGCCGAAAGCCTTCGCTCCAAGATGCTGAATGGAAGCCAGCTCGCTTTCAGTCAGTTCCACTTTGCCGAACTTGTTCAAGACGTTCTCTTCCTCCGGTGCAAGGCCCTTTAGCATTTCGATGTCCTCCATCACCTCCATGTCCCAGTAGCCTGGCTCAAACAAAGAAGCACCACAGTTCGCACCAACAGCCGCAATCCGGGCGCGCCTGGAACGAGTTCCGGATTCACTGTCATCGGCTTGGCCGCTGGACCGCGGTCAGCCACGGGCCGGGCTTCGTAGCAGAGGTCGCAAAGATCGAAGTCACAGGCCTACACTCAGTCAGCTATGCTCCTTGGCTCCTAGGTCCTAGGTCCCAGATGGTCCCAACAGCCACTGCGCACGACGGCCTCGCAGCGGAAGCGGTGGATGCCCTTCGTCTGCCGAAATCCAGTGATGCCACGTTTGCAGCCACCTGGCTGACTCCGCCCATCGCAGCCCCAACCATTGTCCCTGCATGCGGCATTCAGCACAGGATCAAGGGAAGGAGACAGAGAGAGAGAGAGAGAGAGAGAGAGAGAGAGAGAGAGTGAGAGAGAAAGCCACAGAGAAAGAGAGGCAGAGACAAACAGCCAGACTGCCAGACAGATGGACAGACAGGTGCAGACATGGACCGACGGACAGGAGGACGGCCGGACAAACATATCTGAAGCCTTGCCAAGCCCAGCAATGTCATGGCGTGGCCGCGATCGCAGGGCTTTGCCAGCGGCGTCTCATAACACCGTTCGCACAAGTCGTAATCCTTGACAGGCTGCGTTCCGCTGCACTTACGATATTTATGCGAGAGAACCACAACAAACAAAGTCTACAAAATGTAATCATCAAATGTGCCTGAGGAACACACTGTTCACAGCGGAAGCGATTCAGGGTTTTGGTACTTTCGAATCCTCGGGCGATGCTCTTGCAGCCACCTTCGTTCTCTCCATCGCAATGCCAGCCGGGCTTGGTTGCGCTTCTTCTGGGGCCAAAAACTCTAAAACCGCGCCTTCTTCCAAAACGCTGATTACTTTAGCGCAAACGTCTTGACATCATGCCACAACTGATCATAACCATTACAAATTTACAGGGCCGGGGCATTGCCAAGCCAAAGGAAAAACAGTGCCGTTCGAAGTTCGAAGTGTCTCTGGATTGTCTCTGGATGCCCAGCGGGGCCAGAACATGACCCTTCAGACAACGCCTGCTGTTCAGGCGTTCCAGATAGCACTCCTCGCAGAGATCGTAGTCCTGGGGGGGGGGGGTGAAGTACCCGGCTACACTGTGCGTCTTACCGACCAGGCCCATGAAAGACAATTGAAAAACCCGGCGGTCACAGGTCTTGCAGCGGAAGCGCTTCATTCCTGGCAAACAAAGGGCTGCTTGATGCAGCAAGATCGGCCGTCACGGCATCGACCCCTGACGCTAAGAAGGCTCTCGCTTAGTCCGGGCCTTGTGATTGGTTGAAGCCGGTGAGGCCACTGCGGCAGCCGCCGGGGGCCTTGATACCGTCGCAGCCCCAGCCATTGTCCATGGTCAGCCCCATACTCTCCAAAAAATGATTCTGGAGACATGCCATCCGGTACCATGCTGGGGCACCTTCTAAGACGTATCTACTGGCAGAGACCTGCTAGAACCCACGCTCAGTGCGGGATCATCTGCATGCAATAGAGGTCCCATCTGCTGACGTCATGATCACAGCGTTGGGCATACAGGTTCCCATTCCGCACGCAGTTTTGTGCTGGACAGACTTCGGTTTAAGCCCCCCAGAGGGGCAAGAGCCACGGCAACTCAAAAAAGCCGGACGACAACGCACCGATTTCGGCACTCCGAAGTTAAACTTCGCAGTTGCCGGGAAAAGCGGACTGGAAGTGTCCATGCCGATGAAGCCTTCGGGTGCCGATGCTGAAACTCACAACTCCTAGCCTAGATGTTGTGTGTCGAATCCGTATACATGGCGTGGAGTGCGATGTGAACGACCCTGCTTCTGTAAGATTTTGGAATGGCATACGTCCGGATCACAGGACGTAGTTTCGGTGGCCTGCGTCATTTAGGCACAGACAGGCCCCCTCTCTGTAGTTTGCCAAGACTGTCTTGGAACCTGCTCGAGGCTCTAGGTCCTCATCCTTTCCGAGTCGTGCTATCTCATCGTTTAGAAGGTCTGACTTCAGAGGAGCCGTTGAGCAGTTGGTCGGCCAAGCACCGAAAAGTTGGGAGGATGCTGCCCTCCCGGCCTAAAGTTCCAAAAAATATACGGATGGTTGGGTGAGAAAAAGCGCGCTACAGGAAAGAGCTGCCTGTGAACATCAGGTTGCTTGCGTCACCTTTGCCGGTGAAGTGACGGAGATGAAGCCCGGGTGACGTCGGGCTGGATTGCCGCGGAGCCGGGCTGCTGCTGCGACTGCTGCGATCCAGCCCGCGACGCTGAGAGACCACATGCTTGATTCTCGCCGGGCTCTTCCTGGGTTTGGGCCTGTCCTGGAGCTGAGGCTCAGCTGAAGCGTAACAACGGCGACAACAGCAGAACACCCCCCCCCCCCCCCCCCAGATGCCCCCCCGTCCTTCGAGGCAATGGGCCGGTCTTCTGGAGCAAAGCAGGTGTAGATCGAGGAGCGTGGACTCCGAGGCGTCTCCTCCATCAGGTCCTGGCGAGCGCGCTGGCAAAAAACCGAGTCTCCACTCCCCCGCCCACTTGCGCCGGGATTTTTTTTGGGTTTAGGCTCCTCTTCCTGTTGCCGCGTGATGGGGTGTGTTGCCGCTCGACCTGCCTTCCGCCG